ACAGACTGTATACGTGACGGGCAGTTCCATAACACTGGATTGTCTAGTGATGTCACAGCCATGATACTTCATCTAAGTGTACGGTAGGATGTTTGCATGATGACAAAACTGCATAAGAGTGCATTTCTCAGAACCTATCTTTACTGTTAAGAACTATACTATTATCATTATTGTTTGGGTAATATAAATAGGAGTGGAGCTTGGGCCTATGGTAAGTATAAAATGTCCCATTTTACATTCTACCTGTGAAGGTTCTGGTATCATAACATCCTTGCCAAAACTAAAAAAAAGCAGAGCATTCCACAGTCTGTGAAGTACTATCTCATTTTGCATTTGCTTTGCATTTCCCTGTGACAAATTGAACATCTTTTCAGGAATTTGTTGGCAGTTGATCTATCTTCTGTGGGGAAATGTCTTACGAAGTCAGTGCTCATTAAGTAATTGTGTAGATGGTATTTTTGTTTCTGACAGTTAAAATCACTACATTATAAAGATACTTGACCCTTATCCAATATGTGTTTTGCCAATATTTCCCCCTCATTGTGATATCTTTCCCTTTGTCTCAACTCTGAAGTTTACAGTTATTGATTATGCTCATCATGTGGTACAATAGATCTCTTGAAGCTTCTCAACATATCTAACTGGAATGGGTAGCTCTGACAGATAACCACCTAATCCTCCACCCCATAGCTCTTGTGCTCACCATCTTCTCTATTTCGCTGGGCTCTACTTTTAGACCCATGTGTAAGTGAGCCATGTGGGACTTGACTTCCTACGCCCGCCCGGCAGCTTCAGTATGACATACTGATATGTCACGCCGATAATGTCATCCAGGTTCATCCATGTTGTACTAAATGCCATGATTCTCTCATTGTTGTGCCTGACTAATGTCCCATTGTGTAGATGCATATTTATTTTTCCAGTTATATGTCAATAAACATTTACATTGATTTTGTACTTTGAGTACTGTGAATAATATTGCTACATTAATGAGAATGCACATGTAATGTGAATACCTATTTCACATCCATCTGATTCTCATGCAAAAATGGAATTTATGGACATTATGGCGGTCTATTTAAAATTCTTCAAGCAACCTGTTTTCCATAATTATTACATTTATTTACATTACAACGTGTTTTCCATATTTATTACATTACAATAAATTATTGCATTTATTTACGTTTCAGAGATGCCTTTTCTCCACATCCTCACCAACATTCCTTTTTTTCTGCCTTTCTTTCTTTCTTTTTTTTTTTAAAGATTAAACCCAGGGCCTCACCCAAGCCAGACAGTTGTACCACAACTGAGCTTTATCTGCAGCCTCTTTAATTTTTTATTTAGGGAAAGGGTCTTTCTGTGTTTCCCAGGTTGGCTTTGAATTTGAGGTTCTCCTGCTTCAGCCTCCTGAGTAGCTAGGATCACAGTGCACAGCCCATATTTCCCTTTTTATTCTGTTTTTGATCATAACCTTGCTGAGCAATGTGCAGTGTTGTCTCCTAGTAGTTTTAGCTTGCATTACCCTAATGATGAGTGATGTTGAGGAGTTTTGTCATATATCTGCTGGACATTTATGTCTTCTTCTTGTTTTTTTTTTTTTAAGAGAGAGAGAGAGAGAGAGAGAGAGAGAGAGAGAGAGAGGGAGAATTTTTTAATATTTATTTTTTAGTTTTCGGAGGATACAATATCTTTGTGCTGAGGATGGAACCCAGGCCGCACGCATGCCAGGCGAGTGTGCTACCGCTTAAGCCATATCCCCAGCCCCCATCTGTGTCTTCTTCTGAGAACAACTTCTCCTTCTCCTTCTTCCTCCTTTCTTCTTCCTTCTTCTTTCTTCCTTCTCCTCCCTTCTTCCTTCATTACAGCTTTAGGGATAAAGCTGTAATGAAGTGGAAGTGAGGTTCCCCTTTGTGGAGCCGGCTGGCTGCACAATAAAAGCTAAAAAAGAGAAAGCCGCAGGAAAACCACGGGACACAGGATGTAATTTTAAAAAGCAGAGGTGGGTGGGGGCTCGCTCATCTTAAGGATGGCGTTTCCAGCTTTTTTAGCGCCATCTGCTCTCGGTGCCGCCTCCTGCTCCTGGCCTCTCTGCTGCCTCCCTGAGTCACTGCCTGCGCAGCTCCGACCACCTGGCTCCCAGTACTAGCTGCCGGTATTTGAAGTTCCTACAACATGGCAGACATTGACCACAAAGAACAATCTGAGCTTGATCAAGATTTGGATGATGTTGAAGAAGCAGCAGAAGAAGAAACTGGTGAAGAAACAAAAACCAAAGCGCGTCAGCTGACTGTTCAGATGATGCAAAATCCTCCGATTCTTGTAGCTCTTCAAGAAAGACTTGATGATCTGGTAGAAACACCGACAGGACACACTGAAAGCTTGCCTAGGGTGGTCAAAAGACGAGTGAGTGCTCTCAAAAACCTTCAAGTTAAGTGTGCACAGACAGAAGCCAGATTCTATGAGGAAGTTCATGATCTTGAAAGGAAGTATGCTGTTCTCCATCAGCCTCTGTTTGATAAGCGATTTGAGATCATTAATGCAATTTATGAACCTACAGAAGAAGAATGTGAATGGAAACCAGATGAAGAAGAGGCGATTTCGGAGGAGCTGAAAAGAAAAGGCCAAGATAGAAGATGAGAGAAAAAGATGAAGAAAAAGAAGACCCTAAAGGAATTCCTGAATTTTGGTGGACTGTTTTTAAGAACGTTGACTTGCTCAGTGACATGGTTCAGGAACATGATGAACCTATTCTGAAGCACTTGAAAGATATTAAAGTGAAGTTCTCAGAAGCCGGCCAGCCTACGAGTTTTATCTCAGAATTTCACTTTGAACCCAATGAATATTTCACAAATGAAGTGTTGACAAAGACATACAGGATGAGGTCAGAACCAGACAATTCTGATCCCTTTTCTTTTGATGGACCCGAAATTATGGGCTGTACAGGGTGCCAGATAGATTGGAAAAAAGGAAAGAATGTCACTTTGAAATCTGTTAAGAAGAAGCAGAAACACAAGGGTCGAGGGAAAGTTCGTATAGTGACGGAAACAGTCTCCAATGATTCTTTCTTTCTTTTTTTTTTTTTTGCCCCTCCTGAAGTTCCCGACAGTGGAGATCTGGATGATGATGCCGACGCTATTCTTGCTGCAGACTTTGAAATTGGTCACTTTTTACATGAATGTATAATCCTGAACTGGAATCCTGTAATTCCAGTTATACTTCACTGGAAAAGCTATTGAAGATGATGATGATGATTATGATAAAGAAGGTGAAGAAGCGGATGAGGAAGGGGAATAAGAAGGAGATGAGGAAAATGATCCAGACTATGACTCCAAGAAGGATCAAAACCCAGCAGAGTGCAAGCAACAGTGAAGCAGGATGTATGTGGCCTTGAGGATAACCTGCACTGAATCTACCTTCTGCTTTCCTGGAAAGGATGAATCTCCATCATTTGACGAGCCTTTTTCAAGTTTTTCTTGTTTGTTTGCTTGTTTTTGTTTTTGCAGCCTAAAGTAAAAATGTCAAATATAATTTTAGTTCTCACAAGATACTGTCTTAATTTTGTACTAATTCAGGTTAGACCCAGAGGCTTGGATTAAGGGTTGTGCCCAGTTTACCATATTATTGAAGGAAAGCATGCCAGCTTCCTAAGCAAGTGGAAGGAAAAAAAAAAAGACTCTTAATGATGTGATATAGTTTTAAAAAGCAAAAATGTTAAATTTCATTTCCTTTGGGCTAGAACCAAAGCCCTAAGCTTGTGTGGTTTATTCTAATTCTTATTGCTTTAGTATGTCATTTACCATGCTTCTGTTTACTGTGTATTAAAATGGGTAGTACTGTTTACTTAACTACCTCAAAGATGTGTTAAGGCATATTAAGTTAAATTTCATGAACTGTTTCTCAGCCTCATTAAAAGCTTAAAAATTTGGGCCTGTTTTGTACCACAAGAGTGATGTTCAGCATTTTTTTTTCCATACCAGGCTTCCATAATTAACTGGAAAATGAATTGAAAACATTTCTCTTCTGGATCTGGCCAGACAACACTCTTTCAGATCTGTGCATGGCTCCTATTTTAATGAAAATTGGATGAGATGAGTGAACTCTTCAGTAGGCCCAAGGATTTTTTTTCCCAGGTATATCAGATGACCATACTGTAACAAAATACTATAGAGATCACGGGACTAAAGTGGTAATAAGACCATTCAGGGAAGGGGAATGAAATTAAATTTGAGACTATAGAGCCACATTTAAAATACCTCAGGCTTATTACTGTTAATTTGGGTGAGGTGAACTTTTGATCTGACAGTGAGGGTGAACTAAATGAATTGTAATTACAGGAGAGTTTGAATTTCTGCTGTTAATAAAATTACATTAAGTTCACTTTTAGAAGTGATAGTTTTCTTTTGAAAATTTAGTATTAAGGTTTTAGAACGTGAAGGCATTTTATTATTTGCATAGAATTATCCATGCCTTTTCCTGAGATTTTTAACTAACTACTGGAAATCCTTAACCAATTATAATAGTTTTTTTTCCTTCATTTTCAAAATGATTTTGATTGCTTTGACTTAGAAAGTCTGTGATTTTTTTTTCTAACCATAATCTAAATACAAGCTTTTTCTGAATCTAAAAATTTTGATCTAAAGATAGAATCCCATTTTTAATGAATTGAAAGAAGCAACAAAAATCACTATTTTTTGTTTTATTCCTTTAAGAAACAGCTATGCCAAAGTGAAAAGATAGTAATACTTCATCTTTAAATAATCCGTGTGGTCTGCACAGGAATTGTTTTCTTTATCCAATTGGAGTTTCAGGGAATGTCAGTGTTCATTTATGCCATTTCGTCAGTTCCAAAGTGGTTCTATTCCATTCTAGAAATTTGAAATATTTGTAATTTGAAATCCTTAATAAAACTTGGAATTAATTTTATTAAAAAAAAGGATGGAGTTTCTACACTAGAAAAAGAGAGATGGAGCCCACAATTTTTTTCTTTATATGGGGGAACATCAAAGGTTTTCCACGGAATGATCTTTGCCAAATAAGGTAGGGGGTGGGGTTACACCCTACGGGTTAGGCCCAATTCTGGAGCTGCAGGAGCTGTTCCCCTAGTAGATGGAGGACAGAGGTCTCCTGCCTTGGGCAATCTGGTGCACACAGGAGAGCTGGGATAGTCCTAAGGAAAAACATCTAAGTCTCCATGGCTCAATACAGAGCAAAGACCCCTCAAATAGCTCACAGAGGACTCCCCACAGTGATGTTTGATAATAACCCTACTTCAAAGTACCTCCCTCTCCACCTTGACACTTTTAATTATCATGAATTTACCATCACAAACACAAAATGGTTTACAAAACTGTCAAAGATTCTTTTCTTTTTTTTCCTTTGGTGGTGCCGAGGATTGAACCCAGGGCCTTGTGCATGCAAGGCAAGCACTCTACCAACCCAGCTACATCCCTAACCTGAAAGATTCTTTAGAGGAAGCACTTCACAGAGGACTGATTCTTGACTTTGGGTCCATGTAGAAAAAAAACGTTCCACAGGGGACACCTTGTGACATTTAAACTAAAGCAAACTGTTTTTATTTTCCTTGGAGGAAACGAATCCACCTCACCCTCTTGCTGCATACATACATACAGTACCGACTGAAAGTTTTTCTTTCTGTTCTCTGCTCCGTGGCCCAGGGGAGTTGAATTACGTGCAACTGCAAAGATAAAAGAATAATTTATTTAATGAGGAGCACTGAGGATCCACCTCTTTAAGCATGCCTTCTATCCCCTCTCTTACACTTCTCCGCTCCAACTCTCTGTACAAAGGCTGTGCAGAAGGGATGTCTCCAGTGAGAGTCTTGGAGAGAGGCAGCATTTCCAGGGCGGCTGGTGGAGCAAAAAAGGAAAAGGGGAAGGTGGGCCCTGGGCTGTACTCCAGGACAGTGACCCTGGGACAGCCCCGTGTAGTCAGTCTATGAAGGCGAAGGTCCTGCACTTTGCAAGGTACTTTATTTTCCTCTGAATCATCTTTTCAAACTCTCATTCTGCTTCCTTTCCTTGCTTTCTGGTATTCAGAACCTTTTTCAATAGCTCAGAAGTGGCCATTCTGTATCTTTTCTACTCTCTCCCGTGAATTATAGGCTCCTATTAGATTTCCATACCAAATCATATATTTCCTAATTACTCACTGAAGATCCATCCATTCTGCATGAGATATTGACTCATGGGTTCTTAGTGTGATTTTTCCTTTGTACTCTACCTACATTTTCTGTCGATCCTGACTTAATGACATTGCTGAATAGTCCCACATGATGGTTGCTGCCATTCTCCTTTCTGCTCACTTCAGTGGCCACCACATAATACAATAATATGACCTTTTCTGATGTTTGCTATTTGTGCCTATTCTGACCTCATCTCAGGAGAATACTGCCTGATGAATATTGGAGTATATTTTCTTGGCATATTCATTAACTGAACCCAAATATTACAGTACTCCACCCCAGCATCTCATGTTTGCTATGATCATTTTTATTGTCTTAATAACTTGACCCTGGTTTGCTCATGCCGGAGGATTCTCTGGCCTGGCTGATAAAAACCGTAATGGCTGCTAAATCTCCTCAGAGTCATTTTTTTTTATTGTGATTATCATTTTGAGTTCTCTTCATTCACCTATTTCTTTTTTGTGTTGTTGTTGACATGAGCTTAAGTGACTTTCTCAAGATCACAGATCTCAGTCTGTTACGCAGCCCGCATCTGTACTTGTCAAGCACCTGCCAGGTGACAGGCACCATATGCCCCTTTGGGTAGAAAAAGGAACAAAACGGTCCCATCCTCTTATCCACAAATCAGTACAGCTTTACCCATGTGTGAGGGACCTCAGGGAGGTCCCCAGGCAGCTGGACTGTGGGCCTCACACTCGGTCCCTTCAGAAGCCCACCCTGCTCCATCCACTGGCCACTCCACTCCACTGCACCCCCTCCTATACCAGCTGGCCATCTAGTTGGGCAGCCACTTATCCTCTTATACTAGAAAGTTCCTCCCTCACTTACACTCCCCAGTGAGCAGTCCCCGGTCCTTCCTCTCCTTGCCCAAGCATTCCCATTTCAGAGAGCACCTCCTCCCACCTTCATGGACTACATTGGTCTTCAAGGATTTTTTTTCCTATCTTGAAATAGTTAACATCCTCAGGTTTCATAATTCTTACTCATCGTAAGCAGTTTTTTTGTTGGTTTGTTTTGTACCAGGAATTGAACCCAGGACACTCAGTCACTGAGCCACATTCCTAGCCCTTTTTTATTTTGAAACAGGGTCCTTTTAAGTTGCTTATGGCCTCCCCAAGTTACTGAGGCTGGGCTTTGAACTTGCAATCCTCCTCCCTCAGTCTCCTGAGCTGTCGGGATTATAGGCAAGAGCCATAGGCCTAGATATAAACAGTGATGCTTAAATTGTAATTTTGTCACTTAATGTTTCTAGGGTGAGTTGGTTTATACATATTAGTTGTAGATGAGCACAATAGCTTTTATTTATTTTTTGCAGTGGTGAGGATTGAACCAAGTGCCTCACATGTGCTAGACAAGCGTTCTACCGCTGAGCCACCACCCCAGATCCAAGTTAGTGTTCTTAACATCACAAAGATAATCTGTCTTCATGGATTCCATTGGTCAGAATCCCCCTGAACAAGGGTCAGCCATGGAGGATGCAATTCTCATCAATATAAGTATCAGAGTCATCTTATCTCCTGTAACGGTGCACAGCACTTGTAGTCAGTCACCTTCCCTATTCCCCCTTCTTTGGGCCAATTCCTGGGAGGTGCATTGTTGCCAGATGACAAACCCAGGGACTCCATAAATACAAGGAGGAAACCAAGAAACACCCAGCCTCTCACTCAGACAGAAGGCACATGTGAGAGTGCCCCGAGTCCTGCTGTTGAGCAGAGAGGCTTTGGACTAAAATCAGCACTTTATGGTCAAAATATATAATTGATGGTTTTGTTTACAAACAGCAAAGCCTCTCTGCTTGTCGTCTGGCGACAATACAAGTGCCGTGCACAATTACAGGAGATAAGACGACTGATACTTATATTGATGAGAATTGCATCCTCCATGGCTGACCCCTGTTCAGGGGGATTCTGACCAATGGTACCCATGAAGACAGATTATCTTTGTCATGTTAAGAACACAAACTGGGGTTGGGGGTTGTAGCTTAGTGGTGGAGTGTTTGTCTAGCATGTGTGAGGCACTTGGTTCGATCCTCAGCACCACATAAAAAAAAATAAAGGTATTGTTTCAACATATATGTATATATATATATATATAAATTTTATACATATATATATATAATATAAACATATATATAAATTTTATATATAAAAGAACATTAGCTCATGTTTATGAAATGCCCATTGTAGGTCCCCAGAGCCATAGTAGGGCAATTACATGCATTATCCTATTTAATTTCACTCCCCAATCTTACATGGAGTGAATATTTACAACTCCTACTGTGCAGTGAATGATATACATCTAAGAGAGTTTAAATAGTTCCTCAAGATCACAGATGAACCAAAATTCTATTAAATGAAGTCTGACTCAAAACCCAATTTCTAAATGTTGCTCTCACATTGATGCCATGGGAGACCTGGGAGATATGTATCCAAAATAATTATCCTACAGGAGGATTTTAGTAATTATAATGTTAATAATGAAAATCATTTTTTAAATATTTATTTTTTAGTTTTAGGTGGACACAACATCTTTATCTTACTTTTATGTGGTGCTGAGAATCGAACCCAGTGCCTCAGGCATGCTAGGCAAGCACACTACCACTTGAGCCACATCCACATTTCTTACTAACTGTGATGGTCTCCTTGTTCTTTTTTTTTTTGAACTTTCAAAATGTATTTTAATCTCATTCCAAACAGAAATAAAATTTCTAGATACAAATACATCTCATTCAAATCACTTTTAAACATACATTCAACAACTTAAAATATTAAAAGGATCCCAATATTTTCATCTTTTATAATCTCAATATATTATATATTTAATATATAATATATATACAATACATACATGTAGTCAGCAGGATTACAAAGTAATTTTTTAAAAGTCTGATCAGTACTGATAAATATTTTTAGACAATTAAAAGAAACTATCTAGGATCACAGAATAAAATAAAATATGGTAGGCCCAAACCTAACAGCAAGACTGCAAATGTTCATATGGCCAACAGTTTTAAAAGAACTTTCAACTTAGGTAGAATACAATTTAAAACAACACTTTTGCTACTCTCAAGCAGCAGTACTTGCAGATATCAAGCACATACAACTCCATTAAATTTAAAGTAACTATGCAGCTTTCCTTACTGTAATATACAGTAGCTTTCTCTTCCTTTCTGTTGGATTTTTGTTGTTGTTTGAAGAGTAACTAATATATTACCAACAGAAATGACTTTAGTTCTGTTCTCTCCCCTAAAGCATGGCTCAGTTTGAAGATTGTTCTATAGGCAGCCACTAGGACTACTAACAGTACCTTAATACCATTAAGAGCAATCAGTAACTAGAG